ACTGTAACGAGAACGAGAACAGGGAAAATTGGTCGAGCTCCTCTAGGGCGCTCAGAAATCTTGAACGCACTTCGATCGGCATCATACCGGCTCCTGACAATCTGAGACTGTAGTGGTTCACGCCGGCCGGCTCTGTCCTCGTTCCTTCATGTCGTTCTCCTCGATTATGCCTCTTTCATCCAGGTTTGCGTCGCCTCCGCTGATGGCGGCAATATTACTGCTACTCCTGAGCCACGCGCACTCACGCAATGCCCAAGGAACCAGTGACGGGGACGACCCCAGCGGGGATGTCTCCATGATTATTTTGTTGGTCTTTGTGGGCATCGCCGGCGGTAGGTCCTCCATCCACCCTATCCCCTTCCTCGCCCTCTCGACTAGTACTCTCTCCCTTTATACTATTGCTAAATCCCATACCCAGTTGTATTCGTCCTTCCGCCCCTCATAGCTGTCTGTCTCCTATGCCTTCTGTGGATATGCTCGCAGATCTCCAAATTACTCCAGTGGCTATACGCACACGTCTCCACAGTCCTTCAGCGGCTGCGCATGCATGTCTTCAAATTCTTCCAGCGGTTGTACCCGCATGTCTCCGATCTCTTTCGGCGGTTGCGCACGCGCGGCCCCGCCACTATTTCACGCAAGTGGGGGAGTGGGACATGGTTCAATCGACCTGCGCTGTCTAATTCTCAGCAGCACGGGCCAGGGGACGTGGAGCAGCAGCGGTACAGCACTACATTCCCCGTTCAGACTCAAGAGGCGGTACAGCATGGAGTATCCCGCGTCGAATGCGCCGACGCCGCAGCCGCCGCCTTATGATGCTGACGATGAAAGTTTTGTGACCGCGGTACGGGGTACATGGACGTTGTAACTTACGTTGGATAATGCTCTGCTAGCCTTCTGCACCGCCACCGAATCGCGACACTGGTTATCCGCCCACACACGTGAGTCGGATCTATTGATATCCTTTCGATCGGGACCCGGTGGCTCACGTTGTCTTATTTGCCTTTAGCCTCCACTCACCACGCCCCCGGCCCCGGCGGCACATACACATGTATATTAGCTTCTTGCATGCATGCTCTCATGTGCAACCTGAATTGACCTGGGCTTTTCAACCGTGACAGGACCACGGAAATAACTACAGATCTTAACCGATGGTTGTGACGATGCCTTTGCTTGTGGTCCGTCACGGTCAACGGTAGTTATTACCGTGGTTCTGGAGCGAAACAAAGCACAGGTGAGTAGGGTACCACAAATCAGAGGCTGAGCCATGCCACATGCAATACAATGACACTCGGCGAAGGGCTAACATGCATTCGTGTGTGCAGGCGGCGGAGTGTTTAGGAATGACTTACCAAGACCGTTGTGACGCTACGTATATTCTCTTTCTTTTCTTTAACGATCATTTGCTACTGAACTCGACTACATCTATATTTAGATCATGCGCCACCACAGTGCGGATACGATCGTAAAC